CACAGAAAATTAAACATGTGCAAGAATATAGTTTGTCCATCAAAATCCTTTGAATCCACAACTGAACTAATCAATCTGCTGTTATTTCCCAGATTAAGCAATTTGTTCGGTGTGAATTAAAAGGATTTTAATTCAGACGAATCGATTTGTTAATGGACGAACCAAATTTTCACAAGTCTACAGAAAACCCAACTCTTTGACAACACAATGATTGGTTTGTTTGAATTCAACCAAGACGAATTCCACCAATCTTTTCATTTCTACTAGAGTAACGTTTACAATCAGAGGAATACAAAGCTGGCATACAATGTCCGCAGTCATTCAATACTATTGTTTTTTTTCATTATTCTGATTAAACCAGCGCTGTTTGCATAAGTTTTCATGTTGGCATATGAGCAAAATGAAAACTTGTACCACACTATATACCAGAGGTAGACAACCTTCGCACTCAGGGTGTTATGCACCTCCCCCGATGCCTTGCCAGCGTTATACCTGTAAAAGCATTATAGGAGATGTAGTCCATAACTTCTGGAGAGAAAAGGGCTGTCTTAGCTGTAATATATTATACTATACTCTGCTTACACTATATGCGATAGTGAGAATTTGTGTTACATTTCCTCGCACGTTGGTTTATCTGAAGGCAATTAATCTACCAATACAGCAGGCGGTTGAGTGACAATCTGGCAACGAGCTGTAGGTAGCTTGTATATCAATGAATCAATATGAAATTATACATTCGGGGCTGCGTGTTATGTCTATATAATGTTCGTTTTGGGTAATTTTTAAAACCTGTTCTGAATTTTGCAAGTTGATACAAATGTATCATGCAGAGTGTATTTGCTACTGTGCATGTTCTGGCGATGAGCGATGAGCGAGAACATAGACATGGAAAAGATAAACAGAGGGATATAACAAATGCATAAAAATATATCCAAAATAATTTATTAAAGCGGCACTGTCATGCCGAACTTACCTTTCCTCAATCTCTTCCTCTTCTCCCCCTCTCTCAGGATCTGTTATTCTTTTCTTCCTGTCTTCTTTAGTTTTCTTTAAAATCCTAAGAGAAAGTAGGGACTCTTTGCCTTATGGAGGTTTCCTCCACTTGACCAGCTCTGACCAGCGGAGGAGCAAAGTGTGCTTTATTTCCGCTGGTCAGAGCAATTTTCCCATGATCCCTAGCTTTCCTCAGTGTTCCCACAATGCTTCCTGTCACTTTACATGAAACTGCCGAATTGCGTTCTAACTGAATGACAACAGTATGTTCGTTTCTTTTAGAACGCAATTCGGCACTTTATTCGGATCGGAATTTCATTCTAATGAATGAAACTCTGATCCTATTCATTGCCGCGGCTGCATTTTGCAGCCGCTTAGTAGATAACTCCCTAGTTCCCACGGTATCAGGGAGCTATCTACTAAAAGGCTGAAAGACCTAAATTGGTCTAACAGCCAACTTTACTAATACTAAGTAAAGATTACTTAGTATTCGTAAATAATATGCCCCTACTAGCTATATCGCGAGTAGGGGCATGTGTAGTAAGCAGTGAGCAGCTTATAGCTGCTCACTGTAAAAAATAAATAAATAAAAAAACTAATAAACCCCCCCCCCCATGCCCGTGGGGGCCCTAAATAAAGATGGGGGGGAACCTACTGGCCCCCTCCCCCCTGCGCGGTGGGTGGGTGGGGGCCCTAATAAAACAATAAGGGGGACCCACCCCGCCCCCACCCCTGCGCGGTGGGTGGGGGCCCTAGTAATACAAGGGGGGACCTACTGTCCTCCCCCCTGGCCCACCCCTGAGCGGTGGGTGGGGGCCCTAATAAAAAATAGAACTGTCCTTCCCCGCCCCTCGAGGCTGTGGGTGGGGCCCTAATAAAACAGACCTACTGTCCCCCCCTGCCCCCACACCTGAGCGGTGGGTGGGGGCCCTAATAAAACAATAAGGGGGGGGACCTACTGTCCTCCCTGGCCCCCACCCCCTGCTGGGTGGGTGGGTGGGGGCCCTAATAAACAGGGGACCTACTGTCCCCCCCCCGGCCCCACACCCGTGCGGTGGGTGGGGGGTAATACAGGGGGACCTACTGTCCTCCCCCCCTGCCCTCACCTGCGGGTGGGTGGGGGTAAAACAGGGGGGGGACCTACTGTCCTCCCGGCCCCCACCCCTGAGCGGTGGGTGGGGGCCCTAATAAAACAATAAGGGGGGGACCTACTGTCCTCCCCCCCTGGCCCCCACCCCTGAGCGGTGGGTGGGGGCCCTAAATGAAACACCCCCCCCCCAATCAAGGTGACTAGGGGTCCCAAGCCCCTAGTCACCAACCCCCCACCCAAAAAAACCTATCCCCTACCTACCCCCCTCACCCTACAAATAGTGAGGGGGGAATAAAATAACTAACCTGTAAAAAAAAAAAAATTAAACTTACCATTTGACGTCTTCTTTTTTCTAAAATCTTCTTTCTTCAGCCCCCAAAAAGGCCAAATAAAAATCCATTACACCCGTCGATCTTTAAAAAAAAAAAAAAAAACGAGCGTAAGAAATAAACAGAAACCACTATAGGTCAAGGAGCTAGGTGCCTTATTCCCTACTAGTTAATGATTGGTTGTCATCAGAGTGCTCTGTGTCATTTTACACAGCGTGGGAAAGTTCTTTTGAATTTTCCCACGCTGTGTAAAATGACTCAGAGCACTCTGATTGGCTTAAACCCACCAATCAGAGTGTTCTAAGCCTAATTGCAGGGCGGGGCAAGGCTTTATAAGCCTTGACCCGCCCTGCGGAGCTCAGTATGCGGCGTGCCCTCGAAGGGCGAACATGGATTAATTTTTTTTTGCGCTCGTTTTTTTTTTAAAGTGCGACGGGTATAATGGATTTTTATTTGGCCTTTTTGGGGGCTGAAGAAAGAAGATTTTAGAAAAAAGAAGACGTCAAATGGTAAGTTTAATTTTTTTTTTTTACAGGTTAGTTATTTTATTCCCCCCTCACTATTTTTAGGGTGAGGGGGGTAGGTAGGGGATAGGTTTTTTTGGGTGGGGGGTGACTAGGGGCTTGGGACCCCTAGTCACCTTGATTGGGGGGGGTGTTTCATTTAGGGCCCCCACCCACCGCTCAGGGGTGGGGGCCGGGGGGGAGGACAGTAGGTCCCCCCCTTATTGTTTTATTAGGGCCCCCACCCACCGCGCAGGGGTGGGGGCCAGGGGGGAGGACAGTAGGTCCCCCCCTTATTGTTTTATTAGGGCCCCCACCCACCGCGCAGGGGTGGGGGCCAGGGGGGAGGACAGTAGGTCCCCCCCCTTATTGTTTTATTAGGGCCCCCACCCACCGCGCAGGGGTGGGGGCCAGGGGGGAGGACAGTAGGTCCCCCCCCTTATTGTTTTATTAGGGCCCCCACCCACCGCGCAGGGGTGGGGGCCAGGGGGGGAGGACAGTAGGTCCCCCCCCTTATTGTTTTATTAGGGCCCCCACCCACCGCTCAGGGGTGGGGGCCAGGGGGGGAGGACAGTAGGTCCCCCCCCTTATTGTTTTATTAGGGCCCCCACCCACCGCTCAGGGGTGGGGGCCGGGGGGGAGGACAGTAGGTCCCCCCCCCTCATTATCTTCATGGCCCCCACCCGCCGCTCAGGGTGGGGGAGGGGGGAGGACAATAGGTCCGCCCCCCCTTATTGTAATTTATGTCATTTTTTTCAACAGTGAGCAGCCACAGGCTGCTCACTGTTTAGTAGACATGCCCCTACTCGCGGTATAGCGAGTAGGGGCATTTGGGAGATTTTAATCTCCCTTGTGCTATTATGGGGGTCATATTGACCCCCATAGAGTGAGAGGGGGTACTGGGGGGGCTTATGAAGTGGTGGGGAGCAGTGCTCCCTGCCGCTTCTATCTTTACATATTACAAGGAGGGAGCTGCGTGCCGGTAGCTCCCTCCTTGTAATAACCTGCACGAACAAACATACACTGATACATTGTGTTTGTTTGTTCGGCTGATTTGTTTGTTCGGCTGATCTTTCTATTCACTCATTTGTCTGTCTGATGAATGAATGAATAGATGAAATTCCCGTTCGCATTTCCAGGTGTTTCACTGGGCATGTGCGTGAATCTCACAGTCTGCCTAGTGTGGGCAGATGACGTGTCCCACAGGGACTTCACCTACCCACACAAAGATGGCGGCGCCCTGAATCAAGATCGGGGCAGAAAATAAGGATTAAAAAATAGGTAATCTGGGGGGCTTAGGGGCATTTGGGGGTGACTAGTGGGTCAATTGGATGTAGTGGAGGCGGGAGGGGGGTTAAAAAAAAAAAACGGGTTTCGGCATGACAGTGCCGCTTTAACTTATATCTTGGTTAGAAACAGTAAGTATATTCAAAAATAAGTCACCACAAGTTGTCCAATGCGTTTTGTGATTTTGGGACTTCGTTAGGGACAATTATGAATCACAGATAAAAAAAATCTGTGATTCGTAATTGTACTTGTGTGTTTTTTTATCCACAATTCATAATTGTCTCTGAGGAAGTCCAAAAAGGAGGACTTGTGGTGACTCATTTTTGAATACACTTGATGTTCTTAGCCAACATGTAAGTCAATAAATTATTTGGGATATATTTTCTTATGGATTTCTTCAATCCATGTATTTAACTTTTCCATGTCTATGGTCTCGTACTGTTTGGAGCGAATAGTAAGAGAAATAACAAGATTAATCAAAGTAACATTTCTCATGGATAACTCTCACGTTTTGCACCCAGCGGGGCTGTACATTTTCAGTTAATAGATTATCAGCTTGTAATGTATTCTGTCATGTTATGTATCAAGCATCACACTATTTGTAATAGACAATACAATGTTCTAAACTAAAATATGTATATTTTCTTTTTCTAGGAACTTTCGCAAAAAGTTGTGAATGGAAAGTAGTACAGATAACCAGATTCGTGCTTGCTCCTGTATATTTTGCTCTCTACCCAGAAGACGAAGTTCGTTATTTATCTGTTTGTCAAACCGGAGATTTAAAATACCAGAAAATCTGTTAAATAACTGCATCATATAAGACCATATTTGACCTTAGTTGACTTTTTAGGATGTATCTAACCCATATAATATAGAGAAATTGTTTAAACAGTGGGTGAGGGGATTTTATCACCTAAGGGTTTCTGAATTTTGGGTTTAGGAATAGTACTCACAATGGACCAATGTGAATCTCAACAATATCCATAAAATACCCCAGGCCAATCTCAGATCATTCCTAGTGATGGCTAACTGATCACAAACATCTGTTTTACCAGCTTTGGCCCTAACTAATCTAGCTATAACAAATGTTTAATCACTCCATCACTCACATGTATAGCACAGAACGCTAATTCAATCTAAAAAAAATAAAAAATACATTGCCCTTTGACACGGGACACTTTATCCAGATTTGGATTTAGCAATTTCACAAATGATCCTTCTCTTCACTTTTTCATATTGTGTTAAGATATAGAAAAAATAAAATGGTGCTATTTTTGCATATTTCTACCTGATTTGCTATAGAACTTGGTGTGTAATGCTTGGATACATATCTGTATGTATTCCACACGAAAGTCGGGAATGAGAAAACAAACTTTCAGCTTGATGAAGATAAATGGTTAAGACAGTTAGGCTACAATGTATGCTTGTTTGCGCTATCTTGGCATTGTACCTGAATAAAAAAACCATTTGGTATTAAATGAAATTGTGATGCCCATGTTATATCCCATCTAAGTCACGTTTTAGCTTTAATACAAATCAGATCAGCCAATCAGGACAGTGAGGTCACTTACAGCTTCAGCCAATCAGGACAGTGAGGTCAGATATGGTTTTAGAATCATTTCAAACAGTGATGACATACAATAAATAATTGAAATTGTAATACTTCATTAAGACCATTTTCTTGGCCCATGGATTAGTGTAATGTGAGGCGACATTTACGGCCACCCAAAAGCTCTAATGTCCAGGTCAAGGTTGACAAGGGTTTGCATAATGACTGTCCTTCTTACTTAATCTGCACAAGTATTCGTTAATAGTGGGATATGTTTCATTGCATTCTTTGTAACTAGCCTTATCGTCAAACTATCCTCCTTTGTCCTTGTTCCTTTGGCACAGTTCTATTCACTTTAATCTTTGGAACACAACGCTTGATGTTTCCTCTCACTTTAAAGACTTCAATGAGATTGAATTATTTATAATTGTTGTTCTTGTACATTAAGAGTTATATATAAGAGGCTTCTGAAAGCATTGGGTTATTACGTTTTGTTTTTTTGGCACTTTATGGGTCGCATTCAGTGCAAATGTTCACTTTGTCTTAAATGGTTATTGCCTTCTGTCATGTACCGCCGTATTAATAAGTGCTTTGTCGAAATAATGCTTTTACATTTGTTTTTAACTAGCACTTCATCTTAGACTATTGATGTATTGGTTGATGGCGTTCTATAGTACACTCCTACAGCCCCTTATAACAAGGAAGACATTAACAGCATACATTCAAATTGGCCCAAAGTCTCTACACTACAGTAAAAGGAAGTCACTTCACAATCTACGAGACTACAAACAGAACTGTTTACTCTTTGGGTTTTTTGCAAACTTTAGACCTAGGTAGGAGTTTTTTCTGTCTTTTCGTATTTATTCTAAATTTTACCTGTTAACTCTGTATGCATTAAACTCCTTAGTGAAGTTGGTCACACTTAGCTTCTTGGATAGATCCACAGGATTTAATGAGACGTCATTTACCTATTGCATAATATCGCCCTCTTTTTAAAAATATTCAAGGTGGGTTTATATCAAGAGTTAAAAGCTATTTCCATCACTTATATTAGTTTACCCAGGGAAGAGCTGGTACGGTGGTTCCCTCTCCACCCCTCTGCTACTAGTATAGAGAAGTTAGCTGCCTCACAGCTCGGTACTAAGTATATTATATACTATTTGATTTTATTATTATTGTATTCCAGTTCTTGCAGTTTTAGTATAAAAGTATAAAAAGTATAAAAAAGAATTCAAAGTGAATTTCAGATTTAAAGGGACACTTCACTGCCCAAATACAAAAGAAAAAAAATTCCAGTTTAGTAAAAATGAAAACTGTCATGCATTTAATAAGGCATTTTTATATTGAGGTATAACTAAAAACATCTTGCAAAACCTGCAGTTCTGCCTTTGCAAGCCCTCCCTTTCTAACCCCGCCCAGACTTTGTGTCTGTCCAATCATAGGCTTCCCAATGCAGCTCAATGAAACATAATTGCAAGGCAGGTGCTCTGAGCAATTGCTGCCTCTTGAGTTTAGCTTCACTGAGCTAACCAAACCAGGAAGTAACAGGACAGGGTGTCTGATTGACAGCCAGGGGGTGTAACAAGCTTGGTTTATTAATGTGACAATTTCTTTTGAAATCTGCACATTTTGAAAAATAAAGTAAAGAGGACACACTCTCCACCCATAAAGTTTTGCAGCATGCTTAAGTTCTTTAGTGGTCTGGAGTATGCGTTTAAGGCCAAAGTAGCTTGACTGGAAGAATAGCTGAATTAAAGAATGTTTCCAATTTGGATGTTTAGACCTTAAATTCCCTTTGAATTCTCACTTTAGCAAATAATCCCGTGTTGGTCTTTGGAGATTTTAATATTGATTGTCTGCATCTTAAAAATAATAGTTCTTGCTGGCTGTTTAAGACATTGCAGCTAATGCAATTAATCTCCTCCCCAACTCGCATAAACATTAAAAGCCATAACCATACCCTGCTAGATTGGATTCTCTCCACTTCTCCTGATAGAATCCAGGAGGCCGGTGTTCTCCCTAACAGTTTCAGTCATCACTGTTTAGTGTACTGCGTGAGCAAAATAAAGGCTATTAAATCCTCTCCCAAGGTTAAAATCACCAGGTCCTTCAAAAAAATCTAATCTTGAATCCTTTCTTAATGACATCAAGAACCTCCCATGGCACAGATTAAACATTATCCCAGATCTAGACTGTGCTGTTGAATACTTTCAGTCTGAACTCCTACAAGTTTAGAATTTGCATGCCCCGCTGCGTAAGGTGAGGGTAAAAGGAGCGCATATGAACTGGATCACAGCTGACCTCATCCAAATGTACCAGTTTTGGGATTCTTTGTGGTCAAAGTTTAAGCGTACTGGCTCTATGAACGATCACTGTGCATATAGACAATGGCGAAATATATGCACAAAACAAACAAAACTGGCCAAGGCCCAATATTTCTGTGAAAATCTGAGCAATAACCTATCAACCCTAGAAACATTTGGAAAGTCATAAATAAATTACAAACTCCCCCAATCCACTCCCAACCCTCCACTGTCAAAGCGGATAACCAAACCCTGCAACTTCCCTTAGATGTAGCACATGCCTTTAACAATTATTTTGTCGGATGCTCCACCACCCTGATTGACAAGCTAATAAATGATACGCATCCTGAAACTACAAATGTGGATCAGGCCCCACTAAATTTGCAAAGACTCAATATAGACAAGTTCATTTTTAGACCTATACCTATTAGTGTCATTAAAAAATACCTTAATAATTTAAAAATGAAAAACCGTTCTGGACCTGATCCAAACCCAGCAATGCTGTTGAAGCTCAGTGCGCCGGCAATTGCTAAACCTGTCACAACCCTAATTAACGAATCTTTGGTGTCTGGATACATACCTAAACTTTGGAAGACTGCAAGAGTAGTGCCTATCCATAAAAGTGGTGACACTACTTTGGTTTCTAACTATCGCCCAATATCATTGCTCCGAGTATTGTCAAAAATCTTAGAAAAATGCGTCCATACGCAATGTACACTTGTACGCAGATGCAAAGCAAATCCAATCTACCGCAGCTTGAGGCTGTGCTCCTAGACCAGTTTACAGAGGTAGAAAAGGTGATCGTAAAAAACAAACTCTTCCTGAACACTGACAAAACTGTCACAATGATCTTTGGAACAGTTACACAAATTACACAATTCCCACCTATCCATCAAAACAAAATCAACTAGCACACTGACCGCAGTCCACTCTTTCAAATACTTGGGTATGATTTTAGACCCCAATCTATCTTTTGGCCTACACATAGAAAAACTTGCATCTAAACTTTATCCAAAACTAGGTGCCCTGTACAGGAACAAATCCTGCCTAAGCCCTACAGTAAAGGAAAAGATTGTACCGCAAATGCTGATGCCAATCATTGATTATGGGGATGTAGTATATGCATCTGCACCGCAATCCCACATTAATAAACTCAACACATTGTATAACTCGTTCTGCCGATTTGTGCTACAATGTAATTACAGGACCCACCATTGTGACATGCTAAAAGAACTAAACTGGCTGTTGCTGGAATCCAGACACACCCTTCATCTTTCCAGCCTTGTGTTTAAGAGCTTTTCTGGGAAGCTCCCAACCTACCTGAGCAGAATGCTCTCCTCGGCTGTTCCCACCTCCTATAACCTCCGATCCAGTACCAGCACTTTACTTAGTCTATCTCAATACAAAAAGAAAGCAGCCCGTTCCTCCTTTTCTTACAGAGCACCGCAATTGTGGAACGACCTCCCGCACACTTTCAAATCTTCCCCTTAAAGTCCTTCCCCTTAAACTCAACACAGAATGCACCGGTCATGATTGATTATATATTTCTTGCCTGTTCTATGTTATATTTCATATAGATTGTGTATCAATATTGTTTTTGTATTTTATTGTACCCTAATGTATCAATGCAATGTTTTGTGGACCCAGGACATACTTGAAAACAAGAGAAATCTCAATGTATCTTTCCTGGTAAAATATTTTATAAATTAATAATAATAATAATTTAAAACTATAAATGGGAGTGAAATTTGATGAGATATTATGAAAATTAATCCTCAAATCGGGCTATATGTTTGTAGTTACCCCCACAAGCCAAATATATCCAACCTTCAGAAGAATACATGGCTTTTACACATGACAGTACGCTGCAGACTGATGGGGCACACAATTGGTTTAAATGATGTCTATTTATTATTTTTCATTGCTTTAACACTATTTATTGTATATGTTGCATGTTATTGTCCTCTTCCTAAGACACATAGCTTTGTATTCACCTCATCGGCATTGAATCCTGTCTGTCTCTTGTGTGCCCAGTCTGCTTGTCTGTTACATCATTACATAGCTGAAAAGAGACTTGAGTCCATCAAGTTCAGTCTTCCTCACATATGTTTTGCTGTTGATCCCAAAGAAGGCAAAAAACCCAGTCGGAATGCGCTTCCAATTTTGTAACAAACTAGGAAAAAATTCCTTCTTG